TAAATAATATAATCGTTACTACTACAAATTTATACATCATGGAAAATTAGCATTAAAGAACCACTTACTATATGGAAACAATAAACAACAACATGGAGGAGGAGTAGGTGGTCCGTTGCACGCCTTTAACTGGTAAGAAATTACAGATTGGAGGCGAGGAGAGAATAAGGAAGGAGCGAGACTATGACCAGAGCGTCTCCGTACCGCCAGAGAAGGGGTCTCATGGGTCGCCACACGCCTCGACGCGACACAGTGTGTTGTTGCACCAGCGCAGTATGCCGCGCGGCTCTTCTAGTGGCACAGCGGGTTCCGTCAAGGCAGGCTGTCGCCGTCTGCATGGCGACACGGGACACAGCTGCGGTGCTGCGGGCCAGCCACACATGGGATAGTGCTTACACTGCAATGACATGCCAACGTCAGCTTACAATGAATCGCCACAGTTATAACGTAAGTCAGCTTTCATCATGACGCCACGCACGTAAACGGAATGTCAGCTTTCATCATGATGCGCGCAAGTATAAACGTAATGTCAGCTAGTCATCATAGAATGCGCGCACAGTATAACTAATGTCAGTCTTACAATAGAACGCGCGCACAGTGTAACTATGTCAGCTTTCATCATGAGCGCCACAGTATAACGTAATGTCGCTGTTCATCATGATGCCGCGACAGCCTGTCTGTAATGTCAGCTGTCATCAGGTGATCGCCGCGCACAGTATAACGTAATGTCGAGCGTTCTCATGCATGTGCGCACAGTGTTTACGTACATGTCGTTTCATCATGATGCAGCGCACAGTAGATGGAATGTCAGCTTTTCATCATGATGCGGCGCACAGCTATAACGTAATGTCAGCTGGCATCATGAGCGCGCACGTGTACGGTAAATAGTCAGCTGCATCATGATGCGCGCACAGTGTAACGTCATGTCAGCTGTCATCATGAGTGCCCGACACAGTTAACGTAATGTCAGCCTTTCATCATGATTGCGCGGCAATAGTGGATGTACGTAATGTCAGCTTCATTCATGATGCGCGCACCAGTGTACTAAGCAGGCTTTCATCATGATGCGTGCCAACAGATATACGTAATGTCAGCTTACAATAGAACGCGCACACAGTGTAAAACGTAATGTCAGCTTTCATCTGATGCGCGCACAGTATAACGTAATGTCAGCTTTCCATCATGCATGCTGTGCACAGTATAACGTAATGTCCAGCTGTACAATAGACGCGCACACAGTGTATGTAAATGTCAGCGTATCAGGCCATAATGCGCGCAGTATAAGTAATGTCAGCGTCATCATGATGCGCGCACGTTAATACGGAATCGTCAGCGTTCATCATGAATGCACGCACAGTATAACGTAAACAACAAAGGAGCCGCAGACGCGTCTGGGCTTCATCTGAGCGTCTGTGGCCTCGCAGATAACGTAAAATTTCGTCGTGCGTAGGACCACATTGTTAGGCGCAGATATGCAGACACGCGTTGCGGCACATCAGTGTTGGACACGCCCACTATCGGAGATGGAGGTGTAGGGCGTGAGGGGGGCGGGAGGGGGTGGGAGGGGCCTCTAATAGCAAAGCGAGTTCACTCACTTTGTTAAACAGTCACAAATCCATGTTTTAACCTCCTCTGGAGGGTCCAAAAGTATATCGACACTTACTCTGCGCAACATGCGCAGAAGGGACATTTCATGGTTCCGTTCAATAAAGCCATAAAAATGCTAGTCACCGCTTAAACAAAAAGTTTTTCAAGCGCTCCGTCAGACCATGTCCTCAGAAATGGTCTAAAATCTGCCCTTGCCCATTGACTTTGACGGTGACCTCCAATTCGCCACGCGTGTGGCTTTTCCGCCATGAGCTATACACCGACTATCACGAGCCTAGGTCGGCGTTTAGTTTCTGCCGCATTCTGCAATTTCCTCCCCTATACCTTAGAGTGTCTAAGGAGGTGAATGTTCCCCCTTATTTTACACCCTTGACCTTTGACCTTGACCCCCAGCTTCGACATCCAACTCGTTTCTCGGATTACCCCCCACGCTCCCGAATATCGTGACCGTCCGCTCGCGCGGTTAAGATGTGGGCCCAACGCGCTACGGACGCCACGGCGCGACGGACGCGACGGGAACGGAACGCACGGACGATCATTGCCGATCTACAAAGCTGCCCATCTGACTATGGTCAGATGAGCTAAAAAACAAATAACAACACCAGCCGACAATAAGTTCAGAAAGAAACCAGTGTCAGCAACCATACGTTTGATCAACCGGACTGAGATTATCGCCTCAATCTATAGTAAATCTATAATGAATGAAGATCCCTTACGACATCGGCACGATGGTGAAAGCAGGGTGGACGTACTGATCCCCAATCCTTGACCGCCAGTCGGGCCGGGCGCCCGCTGTTGCAGCTGTCGGTGTAGGCCGGCTGTGAGGCTGTCGCAGTGAAGGCTGAGCCTCCTGCCGCTCGTGCTCACACAGCACCGGCGACACGCCGCGGCACCCGGAGCCACACAGTCGTCGAAACACCTGCACAAAACAGGCCAGCGCAGTCAATCAACACACCGATGCTGCCACGCAGACATGCTCACTTGTACTGCACACTGGTCGCTAGTCATGCCACGTGTTTGCTGTTGCTGACGTGTTTACTTGTCTGGTAGTGCTTCATTGGGCTGTATGTAGTTGACTTGTCTGTATGTGCTTTTACTTGCTGTATGTGTGCCGCTCGTCTGTATGGTTTACTGTGTTCTGCACGTGTTTACTTGTCTGTGGTGAGTTACTGTCGGTGTGTTTACTTGTCTGTAATGTGTTTAGACCTGGCGGGGCCGGGCGGCTGCTTTCGTGATGCTGGTGCTACTTGTCGGTGTATGCCTGTGCGCTTTGGTGCTGTGAGGTGTTTGTTGTCTTCGTAGATTGTGTTCGGGTGTCGGCACAGTGGTAAACTGCGTTAAACAGACCGTGGCTGTACAGCTGTAACCAGTAATAGAAGAATGTTAAACAACTATTTTTGTTTGAATTCTATTTTATTATTTAAAATATTGGGTAAGATTTTAATGCGTTTAAAGAGAAACAGCATCTCCCCCTCCCACGGTCGGTACGCCACTTTGACGGATCGTCGTCGGAATCTCATTCCGGATAATGTTGCTCGGCTCGGTCTCCTCCTCATCCTCTCCTTCGTGCCCTGCTGCGGTCCGGCTCCTCACCGCACACCTCCTCCTCCTCGCCCTCCTCCTCCGTTGTCCTCCTGCCTCTCCCTTGGCTGTGTCCCACGGGGGTTTAACACACGGGGCGCTCGCTCGTCGTCCCGGGCCCGGGCCGGCCCGCGCGCGGCAGAAGTGCAGCGCGGTCAGCTGACAGGCTCGTGCTGACGGTCGTTCGGCCGACCTGACTCGCCGAGTGGTGGCCTCTTTGCGACATCGTTCTCCACGCAGGATGCAGGCGACGTACGCGCGTCATCGACATGCAAGCACGTCACCGGACACTGCGAGGTAAAGCCACATTGACCAGCGGTTCAGGCGCGGTTCAGCAGACAGGGATGCGGCGAAAACTCTGTATCAATACGAAAACTCGGTACTCGAATCAATGAAAGTCAGACACGATCAATCACAAAAACTCCAGGACATCACAACTCAGCCCGATCGAATCACAAAACTCCAGCAATCAATCACAAACTCAGCCAAGCAATCACAAAACTCAGACGATCAATCACAAAACGCAGTGATCAATCACAAACCTCAGACGTATGATACTTCCGCTCATCCTTGCTATACGCCAACGTATCAGATTTTTAAAACACGAATAAACACGGACATAATTGATGATCGACCCGCAATCTGGAAACAGAATGTGTGAGGGCTTGCGCCGGGCAGCGCAAGCGACGCATGCGCGGATGGACCGCCGGGGTGGCGGTCGAATTACCTGGCCCCCAGTCTTCTCCCCGTCCTCGCACACGCGCGCCGTCCGCAGACGACAGCTCTCCGGTGCGCTCGCAGGCGGTGATGTGCACCACACAGCGGCACTCGTCACGCCTATGTTAGCCCCCGTCAGGCCCAACGTCGTCCCGCGCAGCCAAGGCTGACGCGCAGAGCGCTTGCCTCGCCCCCGCCCCGCAAGACACCGACACGTGAAAGAGACGCACTTACTCTGGGAAGGACATGAACTTTCCATCGGTCTCTCGCACTCACTGCTGACCCACAATACGGCCGTCCCTACTATACAGAGAGTTCTGCCACCGAACTCAGGACTTTGACGCCAATCGTTGTTCCCAAATGGATCAACACCGCTGGCGCTTAAGTATCAGCGCGTATGGAGACGCCTGCCTTCATAGGCGTCCGTCAGTATTAATTAGGAGTGTGCTTCAGTAAACTCAAAAAGTACAGCAGAGTATAGCTAAGACATGTGTCTATGTTAGCTAGTTTATAGAAATGAAACTCAAATCGTTGTGGCCATATGATAGTACACTTTCTTACCGCCAATTAGGCCGTGACGTATATAGCCTGGTGCGATTCGCCGCAACTGTACTTCACATGATAAATGCGTTCCACTGCTCCACTTGCTCGCCGCTGTAAATTTGTTTGCAAGGCGTATAATCTAGCTACACATAGACACATGTCTTAGCTAATAATCTCTGTAAATCTTGAGTTTATTGCAAAGCAGCGATTCAGTCTAATTAATTACTCGACCATTGCATACAGCGTATCCAATACAGCGCTGCTACGTTAATACGTCTCTGAGGGGCGGGTGTGATCCATTTGGAACAACATGCCGGGCAGCGATCACGTGACCGATTTTGTCCGACTTATTCCCTCCATGCGCGCAACTCTCTGTATACAGCGCACCTAACCCACAACACCCTCACCACCAGACCCTACCCCCCATCGCCCCTCTGTGCTCTCTGATTGCTTGGCGCCAACCCTAAGTAATCCAGTGGCCATCCTGCACATGCCACCCCCCGGATGTCATAGCCCCCCGTTGCACTCACACGCCCGGTGTCACATGCTGCCCCCATCCCGTCCATACACTCACCGGTGTCCACCCACCCCCCATCCCGGTGTCCATACACTCACCGGTGTCCACCCACCCCCCATCCCGGTGTCCATACACTCACCGGTGTCCACCCACCCCTCCGGTGTCCATACACCGCACACGTGTCCACCCACCCCCATCCCGGGGTCCATACACTCACGCGGTGTCACCCACCTCCCCATCCCGTGTCCATACATCCGGTGTCCCCCACCTCCCCATCCCGGGTCCGCTCCACTACACTCCCGGGTCCCCACCCGCCGCCCCGGTGTCCATACACTCACCTGGTGTCCACCCACCCCCATCCCGGTGTCCATACACTCACCGGTGTCCACGCTCCCGTTCTCCACATGAATTTACTGCCGCCCGTGTCATCGCCGCCATCGTCGTCGAGTGGCGGCGCCACGGTGGTCGTCGTCATGGCAATGCGCGCATGCGGCACCCACGGCCGGTGCGGGTAGACGGTCTCGTGGCCGGACTGATCTGTAAAGTGCGTGCCGCCGTCCGGTATCGCTGGCTCGTCGAGCTCAGAGCTGACGCGCTCGTCCTGCGGGTACCGCGGCGCCCCCTGCTGGCCGCCCGCCGCCGGCAGCTGCGAGCGGTTGTCGTGCGTGCGCCCCCAGATGGCAGGCCTGTCATCATCATTGTCGCGCAACGGCGGTGGTAGGTCCTGCACGAGCGGGGAGGCGACGGGCAGCGGTGGCGGCGGCGTCACGCAGTCATCACGCGAGCACTCGCGTTGCGCGGGCGGCCGCGTGGGGGCACTGCACGCAGCCTCCTGCACCATGTCGCCAGTCGCAGAGCGGCATCGCACCGCACGCATCTCCGTGCCACTGCCACACGACACGGAGCACTGCGGCGAGAGAATGATACATATTACATACACATACACATGACACGCAACACTGCAGCGTGAGAATGATATGCATTACATACATATACACACGACACAGAACTCTACAGCGAGAGCATGATACGCATTACATACATGTACACACGACACGGAACTCTACAGCGAGAGCATGATACGCATTACATACATGTACACACGACACAGAACTCTACAGCGAGAGCATGATACGCATTACATACATGTACACACGACACGGAACA